CATGAAAGGAATTTTAATTTAATTTATTTTCCTAACAAAGGAGTCTTTAGATTAAGCAGTTTTTTTCGCTGTTTCCTGCTCTTCTGTTGATTGATATTGCTAAAACATCCTCACATGTTTGAAGTGATATCAACACAAAATGTGACATCGTCAAGTCCTCCTGAGCGCAGAGTCTTTTTTTCAATTGTTTTCAATGAGTAGAGAGCGTTCTTGAGCCGGCTGGAGAAAAAGCGTATAAACCAGCGTCTTTTCTTCCGAGCACTCTGCCTTTTTTGTGCGGCCGCTCCAAGCAATCAAGTTGAAAATCTTTCAACTTTCCAGGAAGGCGCTGTTGGCGTCTTTGGCACTCTTTTCAAAATGTATATTATATTATTGTATGATATTTGCCTCCTATGAATCGTGTCTTGTACTCACATCCTCTCTGCTCGGTGTCTGATCATGAAATAAACAATCTCAAATATAAAACATGCAGTAAAAAGTAACAGAGCCGTGTCGATCATACAGCAGCTGTATATGATGTTTGATATTACCGACAGGCAGAGAGTGATATTTGTGATGGCTGATGAATGGATGGAGTTCACAGTCAGATCTGTCAATAGACAATCAGCTGCTGCAGTGACCCTCAGTCTGGGCTATTAATCAAATGAAAATGTATCACCTGTGGTAGTTATTGTCTTTACCTGCAGCATGTCTGACCTGTGTGTGTTTGGTGATTACAGTCCGCGCTACAGATAAGAGGATCGCCTGTGACGAGGAGTTTTCTGACTCTGAAGACGAGGGTGAGGGAGGCAGGAGGAATGTGGCCAATCACAAGAAGGGAGTGAAGCGGCCTCGAGTGGTTGAAGAGAAGAAGGAAGGAGAGGAGAAGAAACCCGGTGAGAGTTCTGGATAGTGAGGAGTTGATCCACACGTTTGATACGTTTTGTTAATATGACTTTTTTTAATTAAATGTTTTGTTAGAAATCAAAGAGGAGGAGAAGACAAAGGACAACAACGCAGAGAAGACGGACTTAAAAAGGTGAGAAACCTGTGACATCACAAACACGTCCTCAACGTTTTTTTTTTCTTTAATGAATACATTCTGTTTTAATTAACAATTACACTTTAAATGTTTGTTTTGGTCAGCTGACATGTTTTTATTTCCTTGGCAGTGTGAAGACGGAGCAGACAAGCAGTGCCTGAACTGTTGGTTTTATCCACACACAGGCACACACACACACACACACAGAACGGTGCTGTCTTCTTCCTCAAGGACCAAACTCGTCACTCAATCATAACCAGAAGCATTATATTTATTATGACTCTCCCTTTTCTACTTGTAAATCTCTTGTGAACGGTAAGCGTCCCTCTGTGGTTAAGCGTCATCAGCTAGAATCCACCACTTGAATTTGCAGCATTATGTCCTTTGATACCCACTGAATCATTTTATTCCGATGTGCTCGATCTTCTGAAGGAAACCTCGACTTGTTTTTTAGGCAACAGTGGGTAAAAGTGTAGAGGAGCCCTATAATGATTACATGTTTTAAATTTTAATATTTTGCATTGTCAATAAAACTTTTTTATACAATCTCCTTGAAATGTGTTTTACTTTGAAAAATAGTTTCTGTGCAATGATGTTGTCTGTCCGCACGGTGGCGGTGTGACCATAAAGCTCAAGTGAGCTGCCTAATGTAACGATTTAGTCCGTGTTTTAAACATGAATAAATATATTTAAAGTCACAATACAAGACACTTTAAACATGAATACAGTGCTTCGGTGAATTCGGGGTACGTTCCCACCATCCATTTGTTATTAGGATGACCTAAATCGGATATGTAGCTCCTCGGTCCTCTAGCCATCACTGAGCTACAGCATTTAAAGACGGCTCCTTCAGTCAAAAAAAAAAGGTAAATTAACCACAAAGTTCTGACATCTACGTGTGTTTAAAGTATGCCGAATTAATAAACACATCTTAATTGTGTATAATTGTTGTTTAAAGATATTCTTTCGTCCCATTTCCTTCGTCGGCATGTAAAAGATGTTTGGATTCTCTAATTTGTGGATGGATTTTGGTATATCGAAGAGGATGACGCAGAAAAAAAGCGTTAAATACGAGGTAAATTATCTACTGAAAATGCTAAGAACCTTTCATTTAAGACACTAGATGGTTTTGACGTTCGTTCTCAATTTTTGGAGCAGGAGTTTCGTGCTCATCAACCCAAAACACAACGAGGAGAGAAGAGCATCAGCCATGACTGAGGTGATATGATGCATGTTCTTTACAAGTCTCTGCAATGTCACTGTCAGCCACACGGGGGCGCCCTGACCTAACAATTAGTATCTCGATGTTGCACACTCACACATAAATATTCACATTATCTGTTTTGTTTACGTCTTTCAGTGTGACTGTATGCAGTTTATTCATTTTTATATATTTGTGCATATATTTTCTGCATCTTATGTTTTTTAAAGATGATTTAGTCGGAGGCTTCAAATACGCTCTTAGTGTTTTCTGCCTCTTCCCCTTATTGGGGATTTTGTCATTTGTGTAAATATATATTACTGTGCAGGTAATTAAGAATATTCTAAAGCGATAGACGCAGGTGGAGTGTTTTGGTTTCTTTCTTTATTATTCAGCAACAAACAAGCTTTTAAACTGCTTTTCACAAGTTCATCCACGAGATTAGATCACAAAATAAAAATATAACAACCAAACCGACCCCTTTGAGTAGTCAGAAGACTAGAAACGAACCACACAAGCTCAAGTCCATTTTACCACTATGAAGTTGAAATGATCTTCTAATTTGTGTCTCACGTGTATGCAAAATATTTTGCAAAGCATCTCGTCGTTCATTAAGAAATGTCAAACGTTACTTTCTTTCAGTTGTGTTTAATTCATAACCAGGGGGACAGTCATATATCCACGATTTGTGAGAAAGCTCAGTTATTAAAATAAATGCTATTCATGATACACGACAAGCAATCAACTTCAGCCAAGCGTTTAATGATGTTTGTTTTATCGTTTGTTCAGGTGAAGATTCCTGCAGACGACCCCGAGGACACCTCAGACTCACATCAGCCGTGACTGAGGTAGGACGATGATTAGAAATGTAAGGCCTCAGCTCCAGCTCTCAGTCTGTCGTTAGGTTGACCATGCGGGGAAGGAGCCACAGGTCAGACATGAACCCGGGCCACCTGCTTAAAGGACTAAAGCCTCCTTACATGGAGTGCCTTCCACTAGGCTACCGGCGCCCCTTTATTTAGATTTTAATTCTGCATCAGACTTTCAGCTTTATTCATCAGCCATCATGTTAAGCTAATTGGGTGCACGACCTAAAGGCCTTGAGTCCTTGGATCCTGTGACCTACATAACTTTTTGTCTCTGTGGCCATGAGCCGCTCCTCCCTCCGACCAAAAGAGATTTATGCAAAGATGTTTGTAAATGTTCAGGTGATACTAGGATGGTTCCTACTTTAAATAAGCAGCTCAACACGATGAGATGGATACTCCGGTTAAAGATGATTCAACATGAGTTTATAAACTCTCTAAAGGATGATTTGAGCTTACATTGAGATCCTGTTTTCACTGAGGATGAGTCATCGTCGGCACCAGATGAGAGCTGTGCTGTAGTGGTGGTGGTAAACTTTTAGAAATCCAACTGAAGGTGTGAAAATGTAGCGACACTACACTACAGCTTTATGAATGATTAGTTCACTTCAGGTAAAGCCTGCGAGAGGAGCAACTGAAGAGTGCATCACCTGTTTCTGACTCTCCGTGTGCAGTTAGAGTGTTAGCAGTTGACACTTTCACAATCAGACGGCAAAGTGAACGATCAGTTTGTGAGAAATCTGTGGTTATCAAACATCAAAAATATCCAGTCAGATCCATCCTGTGGCTCAGTGGTAGAGTCAGTCGTCTCAACTGGAAGGTCGAGGGTTTGATCCCCAGGCTCCTGCAGCCACATGTCTAATGTGTCCTTAGGCAAGACACTTAACCTCAAATTGCTCCTCCTTCTGTGTCGCGGTGTGTGAATGTGTATGAATGGATTAGTACTTCTGATGGTCTCTTTACTCAGCAGTCTCTACCATCAGTGTGTGAATGTGAAGGTGTGACCTGCGGTGTAAATGTTCTTTGATTAGTCAGAGTATATGAGTATAGAGTACATGCTGATGACTCATGATGTCACAGAGTGCGAGCCGCTCCCCACTCCTGAGCCGGTGCAGGTGATCGGCATGAACTTTGAACTCTGACCAGGAAACTTGACATTTTAAATTGGGTGCTTGCTGGCTGCGTGCTGAAGGGAAGAGAGTCCGGGGTTATTCAAACATTCACCATGAATGCGGTTGGGGGACTCTGATTTTACCTTAAAACCAACTCGAGTAAAAAAAAAAAAAAAGTCTGAATGGAGCATTTACTCTTAGATAACATTAGAACTCTGAAGACAGAGAGGAGATTCTGTCCTTTTGAGACCAGAAACAGATGCTCCATCTCTCTCTTCATGCCAACAGGTCTATCTCTCTGTGGAGAACACGTGTTGTCATGATGAAACAATCAGTGGCATGAGCACGATCTTGAAATCGATGCAGTTTTAAGGGGGCGTCGCCCCTGAGAGATTTATGATGCTGCCATCGCAGCAGGTCTCAGAGCTGCAGGTTTAATAACTCTACAGCCTTCAGTCAGTCATACCTGAGATGTGTTTCAATGAAAATGCATGAATTCTCTGAAAGCGCTGCCCCTCGTCATCATCCCGTTACAGAAGCGTTGATTACTGTCCTAGTTTTGTCGAGGCTCGCCGCCTGTTATCTCTCCGCCTCATCGGTTTACAGTTTGAGGTCTTTTATCCAATAACTGTCCCCGTCACATCGGACAAAGAATGTTTACACCACCCCGGGTTTAAAGTCTGGGAAGGGCCCCGAAGCTGCTGTAGTACAAATAAACACCACAGGGTGTCGTCTAATCCTCTTAGAGCTCAGCCAATCAGAAGAAGGAGTTCACACACAAAATGACGACAGATGCGGGCTCAAATTTTATTCACATTTATTTTGTTTGCTTTTAGTGTGCTCACAGAAAATTAGAACACCTTTAAAGCAGGAGGAGTTTTAATAGCAATTTTTGTTGTAAGCAAAGTTACATTCCATCTCTAAGTCAAACTGGTCAAAGCTTCTCCAGTATTTACAAAAAGGAAAAAGGAAAAGAGAGAGAGAGAGAGACAAGATGCTACACAAACATTTGCATCTGATAGATTCCTTAAATTGAGTCAAAGACCACTGGAAAAAAAAAAAAAAAGCATCGCCTGCTGGAATCAAAAAAAAACATACCACAGTATATAAACAGTTAAACCATTCCACTTATCACAGCTTGGTTTCAAAATTGCTTAAGAAGGTCTTCTTTCATGACTGCTTTTTTTTTTTTTTTTTTAAACATGTGTGTGTGTTTTGTTTTCTCTGTGTGTGTGTGTGTTTGTTGTTATCTTACAAAATGAGCGGGTGGAAAAAAGAGCTGCAAACTTCTTCTGTGCTTCTTGAGATCAAGATTTTTCATTTTGTACAATAATCACAGTTAAAAACACCCCGCCTATACATACTTACATTTTTTATTAAGGTCGTAAACCAACAATAAACAATAAAGCCTATACAACTTGTATTTCTACTGAATCACTGACTGGTACGGCTAATGAGAAGTGAGAAAGCTCCTATGACTTTGTATCTTGTTTTCCTAGCACGCTAACCTCGGGGACTGCTGTCTGCGCTGTCAAAAGGACTTTAGTGTTGTAAACCGTTTGGAGGATATAGATGTTGGTTTTTTAAGACTACTCTTTCATAATAGTCTGTGGCACATTTCCCAGGCCCCCCCCCGCCCCGCCCCTCCCCCTCATTTACAGCTCCACCCCCTCCTCCCCATCCTCCTTCATACCATGGGCATGTCCATACTATTTTGTGTACATTTTTTTTGTATAAAATTCAAAAGAAAAAAAAAACTTAATACTGATGAAAAAATATATGGCAGAGTGTGGATGTATTAATCTGTTGTACATGTTGAAGCCACCCACCTCCCCAGCCCGTTGGAATGGAAGTAACAATGGACCGAGATGGGTTTTGTGTAAGGGGGGGGGGAATGTAAAATCAAAGTAAAGAAAAGCTTTAAAATATCCCTGGTTGTAGACAAGTTCTTCAGAGCCTCCAGCGGGCGTCACTCCAACATACAAACAGGGAAATGTTCTTTGATTATCTTTTTTTTTTCTCCTTATTTTTCTCAAATTTCTGACTTTTTTTTCTCATTTATTCAGCGGCCTCGGCAGCGGGAGCGTCCGCTGACGCTGCTTCCTGCGAGGCCGGGGCGGCCTCCTCTGTTTTGGCCGCCTCCTCGGCCGGCTTCTCCTCCGCCTTTGGCTCTTCTGCCTTTGGCTCCTCGGCGGGCGCGGCCTCCTCGGCAGGTTTCTCTGCCGCCGCAGCTGCAGCCTCTGGCTTGGCCTCTACCTCCTCTTTGGCCTGCTCGGCGGCAGGTGGGGCCTCCCCCTCGGCGGCCTTGGTCTCCTCTTTGGCGGCGGCTCCCTCTGCACCCTCGGCCTTGGCCTCCTCTGTGGCTGCAGCAGCAGCCGCCTCCTCGCCCTCTGCTCCCTCTCCGGTTTCCTTTTTGGTCTTCTTGAATGAAAAGCCGCTCAGCTTGAATGACTTCTTGAAGGAGAATCTCTTCTTCTTCTTCTTGGGGGTCTCGTTGCTGGTTGAAGGCGCGGCTCCGTCCTCTGCCTTTGCCTCTCCCTCAGCAGGAGCAGCTGCCTCTACCTTCTCTCCATCAGCAGCCTCCTTCTCAGCAGGGGCGGCCTCAGCCTTCTCTCCCTCCTCCTTGGGGCTCTCCTCAGCGGTGGCGCTGCCATTGGCCTGCACCTCCTCTTTGCCATTCTCAGCTGCTGCGGGAGAAGCGTCTCCGTTGGCCTTAACGTGGCCGTTCTCCTAAAAAAGAGACACAGGGGTTGTTAATGCCATGAAAAAGAGCTGGCAGGATTTCAACAGTTCCGCGGTTGAACACCAGGGGCAGCAGTCACCGTCAGATCAACAGCGACTAAAAGCACACTCTCACTTCAGCCTGGATTCACTTGATTTCAACTAAGCATGATCACACACAAAAAATCAGGCCAATATAAAACAACCAAGAATGAGGGGCAAAGCGCACGTTTTCAAATCATTCTCCCTGAATCTCATCCACATTCAGAGCGCAGTGCCTCGCCGGGATCGACAGGGGTCGGTGCCTGGTCGCTCCAACAGCAAAGCAGCTGCTCATTAAAACAGCAGATGCTCATTAGTCTCGCAGATCACGGAGAGCAAGAGTTCAAATAGATTTCCTAAAATTGAAACCAAAAATCGAACTGGCCTCTGAATTCTCTTCTTTTTTTTTTCCTCCCTGTATTTCCTCAAAAAATGCTAAAACTCAAAAAAGAAGGGAGCGGCACAAGCCTGTCGCTCGCCGGCGCGCACCCAAAACTCTCCCAAAGCCTCCCCTCCTGTGATAGCAGGCTGCCATCTCCACTTTCTAGTCGAGCATCTGTAACAAAAGGAGTGGTGCTCCGAGCGCACAGCCTTTTGTTGGCGTCGCGCATCTTGACTTATTCACCATTTTACAGATTAAGATCAAGAGGCGACTTCATTCAAAAGCCAAAACGCGTCATATTCACCAAATCCAAGAATATAAATTCTAGCTTTTAAATTCACCAATTAACCAGAAAATAATGATTTTATTCAAATCAAACAATTCAAAGTAATTATCAGTTAAAGAGCCAACAAACATAGATTCCTCCAAACAAATGAAAGCTTTTTGGGTCAATGATTTTTGCAAATATTCTTTGGATGTAGCGCACAGAATTCCATGAAATAATGCAAACATAGTCAAAATCAACTGTTGCTTCTTCACTATAATGAATTTAAATGTAAAGAAACACATGTTCTCGTGGTTAAACCCCCTAAAGCTGATCTCCATTCAATCTATCTACAATTACGCACGGATTGCGCCCTCAGAGCGCAGCCCTCCTCCACACCGAGCAGATTCTCTGCCCTGATGGATGCGAGGAGCTGGATGATAAAATATCATTTACCTGTCCGTTGGTCTTGGTGGGTGAGGCAGCAGCCTCTCCGGGTTTTTCAGCCGCGGTTTCAGCCTTTCCAGCTGTCTTGGTCAATTGCGCTCCCATGCTTTTTCCGCTCCAACAAAGAAACTCAAGTGATCCCAAAAAAAAAACCGAACAAAGACCCCACAAGCCTCTTTGTCGAAACTCAGACTCTTCGCTGCTGTCTCCCCTCTCTGTGCACGAAGAAAAAGTTCACAGGGAAAATGTAGAGCAAAGTCCAGTGAAGAGTGAGCAGGCTTTTTGGAAATAGCAGCAAAAAGCTGGCAGGTAGAGAGAGAGTCTAATAAAATCCGCGTCGCTGTAGACGGGCTGCAAAATGGAGAAATTTCCCTTGTTGCTAATAAGATGCGGAGTCCAACGCCCAAGTGAAGAGATGAATGGGCGCTCCGAGCGATGACGGCACCGCACTCAGATTTAACCAATCACACCCGCCGCTCAGGGCGTGGGCGTGGTTTTAGGGAAAGGGAGTGAACAATAGATTGTAGCGCTGCGTTTGGGGCACGTAGGAAAAGAGAAACTAGGTGAAAAAACTGCAAAACTTAAGAAAATTACTGCGAAATGTTTACTTTATGACCAAAATGCCTTCAATGTTTTTACATTTAAAGTCCAGATGTGAACTAAAAAAACAGATGTTAATTTACACTTCTTAGTTTTTTAATCAGTTATAGTCTGACTAGTAATATGGGATTATTTATCAGTGATTATTCACTTTTTAACAGATCAGAGTCTAGTGGATCCAAGTCAGAAATTAACTCTACATTTATTTTTATTTTATTTACACCGGCACCCTGAGGGAAATTCTGGTTTACACTCTGTTACTAAGAGACATGCTTCTCAGTCATAGCCTATAGGCGTAAATTACACACAATGCACAAACAGGATTTGTGGACATGCACTATGGAGAGATGTCAGAGTGAGGGGCTGTTACACAGGGAGCACAGCTGAGCTGTTCAAGGTTCAGTGTCTTGCTCAACGGCTTCTCGGCAGGACTCGGGAAATGACCAGTCGCCTCTCCCGCACCCAGAGCAACTTCCAAACTTTGATAATGCTAAATGGACTTGAGCTTGTTTATTTCTTTTCTAGTCTTCTGACTACTCAAAGTGCTTTCACACCGCAGGTCACACCTACACATTCACACACTGATGGTAGAGACTGCTGTGTAAAGAGACCATCAGTATTAACTAATCCATTCATACACATTCATACGCTGCTCTGATGAAGCAGCAGGAGCAACTTGGGGTTAAGTGTCTTGCCCAAGGACACATCAGACATGTAGCTGTACGAGCTGGGGATTGAACCCCTTGACCTTCCGCTTGACAGATGACCGACTCTACCACTAAACTACCGCTGCCCCCCTTGCCGTTCCCAACACAAGTCCCGACTGACTGCTACTGCCCCCCCAAAGGCAATTTTCAGAAATGTCCCCTGTTACCGTTTGGTGTCACCTTTTATTTTGTAATATACTTATTTACCATCTGTACGCTCAAATGCATGTAAATTATATTTTTTCCAGACAAATCAGAAATGAAGTCATTTTTATCCGTTAGAAGTGGATACGTCTTTACGTTATCTGATGTCTGTGGTCACTTTAGATCGCCTTGAAAACCTCTTAACCTGTCGACATCCTTTCCATCATGTCGTCAACACCTTCTCCGGCACGATGGTCGACACAGTGAAGGAGCAATTTTAGAAAATGTTGCACCTTTTTAATTATTCAGACGTAAAGATTTGTGAAAAATGATGTCTGACATTTCAAACAAATTCGACATGATTCATCAAATGAAGGTATCTGAAGAAGATCGTCTTGATCCATGAAACCTTGATGATTCTGAAATCTCCCACTTTTTGACGTGTGCCTTGAACGCGTCACTGAAGATTGTAGCATCAACATGTTTGTGGCCATGTTCTGTTTTCTAAAAACCAAAGATGAAACTCAAACATTTATTTTTCTAAATGTATGGTGATGATTTCTGACCAGGATTCACTTTCTATATGAAAGCAGTCTGTATACACCCAGGGTGAACTGAGGGTGAAATAATGACCTCTGTATCATGGCTGTTATAAGCATTCACCTGAGCATTTATAGACATTAAAGCAGCCTCCACATGCACTAAGGTATGACGTCTCAAACTCTCAGAAGTAAACAGAATCAGGCTGAGATGAAATATGACTGGAAAGTTAATTTACAAGTCGCTTTTGTAGTTTCAGGAACTTTCCAGCTGAACTGTGTGTGTGTGTGTGTGTGTGTGTGTGTGTGTGTGTGTGTGTGTGTGTGTGTGTGTGTGAGTCTGCATGTTAGAGAGGGGGTAGCGGGGTTTTTTGGGGGGGTTGCAGAGTGTTGCTGTTGACAACCATGTGATTGAGCGTTCAAACAGGTCTATCAGCCTGTATTTGCAATGCAAATCCATCACACAGGCAGAGTCAACTGTCCTCTGCAAAGACACCCAAAAGCACCACAAAGTGGGGGCTTCACTCTGCTGCCTTTTAAATGTTATCTAGCCCAAAGCAAAACACAGAAGCACGTCCCTCTTACATGACATGCAAACTAAAGAACTTTGTTCAGTTTCTGTTGTTGTGGCAAGAAAAAGACAACACAACGCTGACTTTATTTGAATGAGTCAGATTGAATCACTGCCCGTCTTGATATCATGATCCAGCCAAACGCAACTCAACAAACCAACATTTCAAAAGTTAAAGGAGAGAAACCAAAAAAAACCCTGAACGTCAATGAAAGCCTAAGAAACACTCAAAGCCTGTAGAAACTGTTGATGCTCTTTCACGTCCAAAAACCTTTCTCTTAGAGACGTAACATTTAAAAACATTGCAGCCCTGCAACAGTCATGATAAAGTTCAACTCATTGCACCTTTGTGCTTGCATGTTGCATCTGCAACACAGTGATATCTGTGTCTCAGTGTGTGGTTTCACATCTCGTTACGCCGTTGCAGAAGCACCAGAGGAAAGACGTGTAAACACATAGAGAGATCCTTTATGAACACCTACGCACTTATTAATGATAGCGCTGATGACGATGTTTAAGATGGTTTTGATGCAGATAAGAACTCTCAAGAAGAACTATATTTAAACTTTTGGTATATAGAAAAAGTGCTGTGCCTCTGGTCACTTCCTGCTAGCAGCTGTGTGTCTGATCAGACCTAAAGCTGTTCCTTTGCTCCTCCTGATGTTGTTTCCTCCTCTCTGGATTCTTGCTTGTGTTGTTCTTACTCTCTGATGTTCCTCGCTTTGGATAAAAGCGTCTGATAAATGAATTGTTGAAGAGCCTCCCAGTTACACCTCTATTCCTGCCTCCATCAGAGGCCCAACAACTTTTCCCCAGCATTCTGACTCTGGGCCTTAACCACAGAAGGATTGCATGGCTTGTGCGCCTGCTAAACCTTTGCAAATTAGTCAGTTTGATACGTAAAGGGTTAAATGCTCCCCTTACTGCCCTGCAGAGCAAACAGCGTCTCTGTGTGCTTGTGCTGTGTGTGCTAAAAAGTGTCTAATTTAATGTCTAATTTTACCTAGTTAAGACAATTTTTCTTCGCAAAAGCCTTGTTCACACTGCACAAAACTCCGGGAAAAACCCCTGAAGTTTTTCGAGGTGAGCCGTTTGAAATGTACAAACATCATCCGGGGTTTCTCCTGCCACCCCAAAAAGGATTTTTACTTTTGCCGTACAAATTCCCAGTGAGCTGACGTTGATATTGTGATTCTGTCAAACTACATAGCATTGATGTACAAATATGGGCAAATATTCTCATTATAGCGTTATCTACCACTTCTGCGACCCCAACCCCCCCAGGCCTTCATATCCGACAGGGATAGTCTCCTGAGGTGCATGTGTGAACGACCCCATCAGGTCTAAGAAATCGAGGCGCAAACCCTCCTCAAATTCTCTAGAAATGTTCAGGAGTGTAGATGTAGTAATGTCTAAAGGAACTCGTTAAGATGTGAACAAAAGCTGGAGTTTTCAGAGCTCTTATTGACTGGAAGATGATCATTTTTGTCATTTGTTTGGGTCTGTTAAACCCTCAATTTTGAAACGTGACCTTTCGCTGGGAACTTTTTAATTTTTACTGACACTCGAGAGACAATGAATCACTCAGGCCTTCTGGAAAACACCACAGAAACCACCTCACAGCAAAAAACCCATCAAGCTGTATAGCTGTGGTGAGATTTACATACAGGGGGAAACCCCAGATGTGACGCTGTTACAGAGAAGTAGATGACATCATAATGTGGTCAAGTTGTGTAACCTCCTTGCTTATTCTCTTTTAAACTCTTTCATTCATGATTTCCTCATTTTTTAAAGCTCCTCTCTGCTCCGGCCTGTAGCACATTATGTCCACGTCACAGGGCTTTATTTGCTGATAATCTCATCGTCAAGCTGGTTACAATAATATGTTTGTCGTGTCAACTTGTCGGTAACATATGAGCTTTAGAGAGCCGACAGGTTTTGTGTTTGTCGACTGTCTCGTGGCAGTTTGCTCTGTGATCCTCGTGAGTCCACACACACGACGGTGGAGATTGGTGTGAGTGAGTATTGGAGCAGCTTGGATGTTCTGACAGGCTGAACTCATCACACAGGCGAGGTGGTGCACAGAAAACATGGAGATAATGATTCATTGTTGTGGTAACAAACATGATGTTTACTTTCAGATGAAGGACAGTTGTGATGCTGACACACCTGCCTGTCGTCGTTGTGCACTGTGATGGTGAAATAGATAGCATTAGCATTAGCGTTAGCATACTGCGATGAAGAAGGTTGATATCCCTGTTGTGAAACTGTAAATCAGACAAATATCACGTTACCTCTCTTTCTTATTTTTACATTTCATTACACTACTTCACATTTTCGAGGCAGTCTGGGTTCAGCAGTGTGACAACCCATCGATCTGTCAGTTAAGCCACGTGTCCACCAAGCTGTGGTCCTGTTTGGTTCAGTACAGTTTGGAACAGTAAACCCTGTTTCCACAGCTGATTGTACCCTCACTTTGTAGGCAGAATGTAAGCCGAATGGCGATAGTCGCGTCAGCTACATGATAGCATGACATCATAAAGATAAAAATAAACTTTATTGATCCTCCATTGGGGGACATTTTTTTGTTACAACAGCCCAAAAACAGGAATATAATTAGCAAGAAATAGCAAAAATTAAAAAACAACATATTTACATCAATTAAGTAAAGGGATAAAAAATAAAATAATAGAATAATACGTGGTATGTACATTTTCACTTGTGGAAAGACAGTTATTATTAAACACACACAGTGTGTAGCATTATTGATTTAGAGTCATGAGGAGGTGGTGCTGTTGAACAGACTGCAGATGGGATGATCATAGCAGCGCAACACAGTGTAGCCCGCTAATAAATTCAA